TTGCCGAGGATCCTGCTGCGACCCTTGGTGCTATCTGGCAGGGCGCTCTTCAGGATCTTCAGAACGCAGATAACGATGAGCAAGACAACAAGCTCAACGAACAGATTGCTGCCGAGGAGTTGAAAGCTCTCCAAGAAGCACTTGGACAACAGGACGGTGCTGATAAGCAGGCCGACGAGGAGCAGAAGAAGGCCGATGAGGAGGCAGCTAAGCAGGAAGAGGAGCAGCAGAAGGCTGAAGAGGAGGCCGCAAAGAAGGACGCCGAGGAACAGAAGAAGGCTGAAGAAGCTGCTGCTAAGCAAGATGCCGAGGAGCAGAAGAAGGCTGATGAGGAGGCTAAGAAGGCTGCAGAGGAAGAGCAGAAGAAAGCCGATGAAGAGGCAAAGGCGCAAGCTGAGCAGGACAAGAAGGCAGCTGAGGAGCAGAAGAAGGCTGAAGAGCAGAAAAAGGCTGAAGCTTGAAACTCAGCGATGCTTTGTCTCCCCTATGAGCGTAGAGGCTCGAGCGGTATACCCATGGAGCTTGGCAGCAACTTGAGCAGTTTACCAACACTAAATAGCAGTAAGACTCGGTGCTGGAGTCACCTACAGGCGGTATCATAGCCTTGATGAGAAACGTTGTTATCAGCGAGACTGATCCAAGTAAAACCTAGTCACGACATCAAATGAATCATTTGTCTCTTTCACTTGTCGTGCGCAGTGACGTACTCGCATTCACGAACAATTGCCAATCGAATCCTTTCAATAAGACGGAGACGTTTTTTCTTTCGAACACATTCTGCCTAGGCGACCTATGAGAGACATTCCACCAGACAAGTTAAGCGCAACTTTCCCTCTCCATCTCAAGTCCTCAAACACAAAGGCTACAACGAAGACATCGCCTAACCACTCGCTGCGACGCTATCGCCATATGAACAGGCTATTTTTCTGTTTCTTAATGCTCATTGCCGGCATTTGCGTATTCTTCAGCTGCACAGCATCCAATCTCATCGCGCCCAATGTGCCCAAGGTTACCAACTCCCCAGATCTTGGGTCCGATTCTATACTCTGGATGCCTACAAGAAAGCAAGAAGACTGGAAGATCGTAAAGGCGACAATGTACTATGAGCCTGGCGATAAGACACAGAACGCCCGCACTCTTACCCTTCATGACTTCCACAACGAGTGCTTCAAATATGAGACACATACATTGCGTACGCCGATTGTGCGAGGCGCTCTCAACAGATTCCTTCACCTCCAATCACTCATCATCAAGGAACTTCAGAAGCCGATTGAGCAGCGTATGGAGTGGATACTCTACTTTGATACCACTATCGTCCTCGCGAACGCTCACATACCCTTACACCACTTTCTGCCACCTATCACTGATGTCGAAACTTTCAAGAGCATTTCCGTCATCGCTACAAAGTCCGAAAGTGATCATCTAAATTCTTCAGTCTTCTTCATACGGGTTAGTGGCAGCTCATTACGGATCTTGACTCAAGCCATGGAGACAATGTATGACGCGCCGTATATCGAAGGATACAAGAACGAAGACAACGATGGAGGCCTCTCATCAGTAGCCCTACAAAATGTTCTTTGTCTGGAGCAACATCGAGATAAGGTGATTTTCCAGCCGCGACAATGGTACAATGACACGATTTCGTTGTTCTATCAACCCTACTTTCCCACACCAGCTCACCGCCTGATACCCGATCTCAAGACAATGAAAGTTGACTGTGAGGGACAGCAATTGTTCCCAGAAACAGCAGATGTACATCGCTTCTGGCGCACAGCGAGCGAAGCTAGACGCGTGTTAGATGAGGCAAAAGAGAAGGGTTATACGGATGAACAGGGTGCCTTGTGGGAAATGGCTAAGGAGGTGAAAGAGTGGGTTCAGCTACGGGCTTGGGATATGGAAGAGCTCGAAAGGAGGATCATGCTGTCGAGGGCCAGCTTGAATGACGACTGATTTGATTTTTCGGACATATAGTCTGTGAAGGAAGTGTGTAGTGCATTCTACATATCGTGATTCATCCAACAGATGATCATCTTCGGTCCTGTGTGTGTAATCATGAATGGTAGTACTGTATTATCGGGATGAGTCCGCGGCCGGATGGTATGGTGCTGCAGGGACGTTGCCAGCTATGCGGGATCCTTACCACCTTCCAATCATGTAGCATAAATGATCTGGGCATCTCGGATAGCACGGCTTAACGTTAAGTAAGCAAGCGCTTACTCGTCCGAGGTACGTATCCCCCTCTCTTCATATAGTAGCACATCGCGTGCCCAAACCTTGTGAGATTTGAAAAAGGTTCTCTGCAGCCATCATTCACTATGTCATTACCCCCAGAAGTCATACCAATGCAAGAAGTGGTGCCAAGAACCGACAACTTGCAGAAGGACATAGCGATCAAGAACAACCAACCAACCTCACCAGGAAGAAATGAAGCATATTCTGCGTTTTCAGCATATACCCGTACCTACATGACCTACATTCTTGGGGTCATCCAGCTGATATCTACCTTAACAACAACAATCTATTTTCCATTGATACCAACACTCAGCACCCACTTCTCCGTATCCGTTCAAGCTATCAACTTGACAGTCACTGTGTACGCCATCTGCCAGGCCCTATCACCAGGAGTATTCGGGTCTTTGGCAGATTCGTATGGACGACGACCGGTACTATTGGCGCTTGTTACCACGTACACGATGGCAAGCTTGGGCCTAGCGCTCAATAAGAATAACTACACAGTTCTCATGGTATTGCGAGCATTTCAGAGTATCGGCGGATCGGCAACAGTGCCGATCGCTTATGGAATTGTAGCTGACGTCGCTGTTGTGTCAGAGCGAGGAGGCATGCTAGGACCAATGTTGTCGACTTGCAACGGTATTTCCGCATTCGGACCGGTCATCGGTGGAGCGCTGGCGATGAAGTCCACAGGACCTATGGGCGTTTTCATGGCTTTGCTTGGTATCGCCATCTTGTGCCTTCTCCTTGTTGGCTTTTTACTACCAGAAACGTCAAGGGCTATCGTTAGGAACGGATCTAGGCCCGCAACTGGAATCTGGCGAACTTGGACATCCTTTCTCTCGAGAGAGCAGGAGGATCGATCTGCTACGAGTATTCAAGACCGGCCTTCGATGCCAAAGCCCAGCCAGACTTTTCGAAAAGTTTTCGATTCCATACGCATTATCCGGCATCCAGACGCTGCTGTGATCCTTTGTATGGTAGCCTCATCTTATGGTATCTACTACACCTTTCAGGTCGCCCACTCTGTCCTATTTGAGGAGCTCTATGGCTACAACGAGCTGCAGATTGGCCTGAGTTTCCTCCCTGCGCTAGCTGGTATGACGATCGGCGGCTCAATAGCTGGAAAGCTTATGGACTTCAACTATGCGCATCATGCACGTCAAATTGAGATCGCGGATCCAGCAAATATACTAGATTTTCCAATCGAAAACGCCCGTTTCAGGAACATGATACCAATCATACTCGCTGAGATGACCTTTGTAACGGGCTATGGTTGGGCAGTACAACACAGTGTACACCCTGCGGTTCCTCTTGTCTTGGAGTTCTTCATTTCCACCTTAGCGACACTACTAAGTCATACTGCGAACGCGCTCCTCGTGGACGTGTTTCCCGAAGTACCGAGCACTGCGTATGCCTCAGGTCAGCTTGCACGAGGCGGATTCAGCGCGGCGTCTGCAGCTATAATCGATCCGTTGATGCGTTCTGTGGGCCGTGGGTGGTACTTCACTATCTTTGCGGCGTTCACTGGGGCTGGGTGTTTAACGTGCGTAAGTTTAAGTCGATGCGCTGGTATGCGATGGCGCCGAAAAAGGTATCTGGACACCAGCAGCAGGTCAGCAGAGGGAGCGAGTAGTCAAGGGGTTTGAGGTGGTTTCTCAGATGTCGAAAAGTTGCATTGTAAAGCCCGGCTATTCGGATCAAATCGTCCAAATAACTCATGATTCTCCTGCATTTTTGTAATCCAAGTGCTCATTTCTGATATGCACCATGGCTGAAGATACCGTATTCAGCTACAGAAAGATATAAACTGAGATTTCATCACAGCAGGTCATCGGCCGTATTTTCAACACTGCGACGACCGTGTAGTATTCTTCATGCGTTGGTGGCAGCAATATTAGATGTCCGTATTGTCGGTATCGTACCCCAGATTCTTGGCGCAAGCATACGAATTAAATTAGTTACTCGGACCGTGCACGTCGGTAGTCTTGTAGACTGTAGATGCATTAATGGCAATGTTCACGCTCATCGCATGACGGTGTGTAAGATGCGACATGAGAAGAAGTGTCGGGACGATGCGTTGGGTAAAAGGTAGACGTGAGGCGCAGGTGTTTCCGGTGAGGATGACTTTGAATACAATGACCAAGCGCTATCTTCAGCAAATGACAACAAACGTGGAGAGGGTATTCAATGTCTGACGTGTCGGTGATGTCTTGGGCTATGAGCTTTCGCATCGAAGGCCGAATTTCCAGGGATGAGGAGTCATATCCCGCCACGCTGTTCATCGACCCGCCCATGTCTCAAGTGAATCATCTTGAAATGTGATGATTGTAGGCCGAACAACGTTGGGTATACATCTCGTGGTGATCTGATGTGGCACCGGTTGGGCCGACGCGACTGACCCAGACCAGATCGGGTAAGGCGTGGTAGAAGTGACGTAACCGTGATTGGCGGGCAACTTTGCCTGACCGGAAACCTGTACGAAGCTCCAGAAGCTTCTACCGACAGGGCAGAAACCACGACTAGCTTCGAGATATGACGAGAAATCACACGATGCCACTGAGTGCTTCCTGACTCTTCGCGAACAACTGCGTACAATTGTCTTTAACGTATATAAATCCCTCGAGTCTTTGTGTAACACCTCTTTTGATCTTCAGAGATACCCAACACCAATACATCGCATACACGAATCCTGAGCACAAGCTCACGACATACGCTATTTCCTCTGGCTTCGGGCCATATACAAGGCATAATAGCCACGAATCAAGATGACTTCATTTGACGCATATACCGACCGCGCCGCGAAAGCTCTAGCAGACAGCTTCGATCTAGCTAAGGGCTATGCGCACTCACAACTCACACCCCTCCACCTCGCCGTATCGCTTATAGATCCGCCCAAAGATCTAGCGAACCAGGTTGATGTCCCACCGCCGCCGCTATTCAAGCAAGTCCTCGAACGCGCGAATGGCGACCCCCAACTCTTCGAGCGCAACCTGAAGAAGGCTATGGTACGGTTACCAAGCCAAGACCCTCCACCAGAGCGTACCTCACCTTCACCTGCTATGGCCAAGGTGCTTCGCGCTGCAGAAGACTTGAGCAAAACACAGAAAGATAGCTTCATTGCCGTCGACCACCTCATCCAGTCGCTTTGCCAGGATGCTCAATTACAACGAATCCTTGCCGAGTCGAACGTTCCGAACGTAAAGCAAATCGACAATGCTATCCAAGCACTTCGAGGCACAAAGCGGGTAGACTCCAAGACGGCTGATGCCGAAGAGGAGAACGAGAACTTGAAGAAGTTTACCATCGATATGACAGCAATGGCACGGGAGGGCAAGATCGACCCTGTCATTGGTCGAGAAGACGAAACACGCAGAGTCATCCGCATCTTGACTCGACGAACCAAAAACAACCCAGTCCTCATCGGAGAGCCTGGTGTTGGTAAGACTACAGTTGTCGAGGGTCTTGCCCGCCGCATTGTCGATGCGGATGTACCTGCCAACCTCGCAGCCTGCAAACTACTGTCTCTCGATGTCGGTGCATTAGTCGCTGGCAGCAAGTACCGTGGAGAGTTTGAAGACCGCATGAAGGGTGTTCTGAAGGAGATTGAGGAGTCAAAGGAGATGATAGTATTGTTCGTTGACGAAATCCATCTTCTCATGGGCGCTGGCTCTTCCGGAGAGGGAGGCATGGACGCTGCCAACTTGCTGAAGCCCATGCTGGCTCGTGGACAGCTTCACTGCATCGGTGCGACCACCCTGGGCGAGTATCGAAAGTACATTGAGAAGGACGCTGCGTTCGAGCGTCGTTTCCAACAGGTTCTCGTCAAAGAACCATCGATCCCCGAGACTATTTCCATTCTTCGTGGTCTCAAGGAGCGCTACGAAACTCATCACGGTGTCACCATCATGGACGGTGCTATTGTTGCATCCGCTACTCTTGCTGCTCGCTACCTCACTCAACGCCGACTGCCTGATTCTGCCGTCGACCTGATCGATGAGGCTGCGGCAGCCGTCCGTGTCACAAGAGAATCGCAACCCGAAGCGCTTGATAATCTCGAGCGACGCCACCGACAACTACAAATCGAGATTCACGCGCTTTCCCGAGAGAAGGATGAGGCATCTCAGGTCCGTCTGAAGGAGGCGCGAGCGGAAGCCGCCAATATTGAAGAAGAGCTTAAGCCGCTCCGTGAGATGTACGAACGTGAGAAGGGTCGTAGCAAGGACATTCAAGAGCAAAAGCTCAAGCTCGAAGGTCTCAAGACGAAGCTTGCTGAAGCCGAGCGTATGCGCGACATTCAGACTGCTTCAGACCTCAAGTACTACGCCATTCCTGATGTCGAGCAACGCATCAGCGAGCTGGAGCGGGACAAGGCCCGCGCCGATGCTGAGATGTGGGCCCACCAGGCAAGTGGAGGTGGTGAGGCTCTCATGAGCGACTCTGTCGGTCCAGATCAGATCAACGAGATCGTCGCTCGCTGGACTGGTATCCCTGTCACACGGCTGAAGACCACAGAGAAGGACAAGCTACTCAACATGGAGCGCCATCTCCAAGAAGTTGTTGTTGGCCAGAGGGAGGCTGTCGTTTCCGTCTCCAACGCCATCCGACTACAGCGCTCCGGTCTGGCCAACCCCAACCAACCGCCCAGCTTCTTGTTCTGCGGTCCTTCTGGTACTGGTAAGACACTTCTTACAAAGGCTCTGGCAGAGTTTTTGTTCGACGATGCAAAGGCCATGATTCGATTCGACATGTCCGAGTACCAAGAGCGACACTCCCTTAGCAGGATGATTGGTGCACCACCTGGCTACGTCGGACACGATGCAGGAGGTCAACTTACCGAGGCTCTTCGTCGCAAGCCCTTCTCTATCCTCCTGTTTGACGAGGTTGAGAAGGCTGCCAAAGAAGTACTCACTGTCCTTCTTCAACTCATGGACGACGGTCGTATTACCGACGGCCAAGGCAGAGTCGTTGATGCAAAGAACTGCATCGTCGTTATGACATCCAACTTGGGTGCTGAACACTTGTCTCGACCAAACGCACCCGACGGCAAGATTGACCCCACCACCAAGGAGATGGTCATGGGTGCGTTGCGCAACTGGTTCCTCCCTGAGTTCCTGAACCGTATTTCTTCCATTGTCATCTTCAACCGTCTTACCAAGCGCGAAATCCGGAAGATTGTCGATGTGAGGTTGGGCGAGATCCAGAAGCGACTCAACCAGAACGGCCGCAATGTACGCATCGAGATGACGCCAGAGGTACGAGATTACCTTGGCTCGGCAGGTTACTCACCAGCCTATGGTGCCAGACCACTTGCACGGCTCATCGAGAAGGAGGTCCTTAACCGTCTTGCTGTGCTCATCCTTCGCGGTTCTATCAAAGAGGGTGAGACAGCTAGGGTTGTGCTGGATGACGGACACATCTTGGTACTACCCAACCATACCGACAGCGAGGACGACTCGGAAATGTACGATGAGTCCGATGCTGTGGCCGAACTGGATGACGCTGATGGAGACATGGATCTTTACGACTAGAGGAATTCAGTGAAACCAGGGAAGGATATTAAGTGAATCTCAGCATAGGCGTTTAGGAAGTTTTTTTTTTCATGGGGAACATATGGATGCTCCGATAGAGGCATCATGATGGGATTACGAGTTACGGCTGATGATTGCCCATAAAAGTAGAAGCACGGGCTGGCGTTTTCTGGATAGCATACTTGATGTATTTATCTTGTACATGGTTAATGAAATCAATAGTCTGAATCACTCAGATGGACATGCGATACCGCGGTGATGATCATTACTCTACTAATAGCTCAATTTCGAATGGGGATTTTGCTATTTTGCATATGTAGTATCCTTGGGACTCATTATAAGAAAACAGCGAGCGGTGCGAATCATATTTCACAAGGACAACTCATATCGCATGCACCGTTGTCAGAATTGTAGCAATCCCAGTCATGAACTTTTGTCATTTCTTCGTTTAACGTTCCATGATGGACTACTTGGCCAAACATATGCTTGCCCAAGTCCGGGTATGTTGCATCCCACTCCACCACAAATTCGAGTAATCTAGTAGAAGAAACCAAGGATCTTTCCGGCAACGTGCTTCCTGCGGGCCTCCTCGTGGTCCATGATACCAGCAGAGGTGGTGAGGACGATGTAACCGAATTGACGCGAGGGGAGTAGCTTGACAACCCACTTCTCCATGTCGCGGAGCTGGACGTTGTAGCGGGGAGAGATGACACCGGTCTTGTTGATGCGGCCGTTGAGCTGGATGACGATCTTGCCGTTGCGGTGGTCGTCGACCTCCTCGAACTCGCCAATGTAGCCTGAAAAAGGATATCAGTGAATGTTGCGGCGAAATAAACATCAGACGTCATGAAAGGGATCCGAAGACGTGTAAGTTCTCCGCAGTTAATATATCGGACACTTAAAGCTCATTGATCGTGGGGAGTCGAGATCAGTGAGTAGTTATCAGCCCGAAGAGGTGATGTAGGTTTACTAGCGGAGAACATTGGGCGGCATTGCATACGTCTTCAGGCAGGGTGGATTGCGCGTGCGATGAATGCAAGTACAAAGATAGACATACCGTGACGCTGCATGACAGTAAGGAACTTAACGATGACCTTGGAGGAAGGACGGATCATGACTTGGCGCTTGCCAGCCTTCTCGGCGTTGTTGATGGCGTTGAGCGCATCGTTGAGGACGGAAGTCTTGACCATTTTGACGGTGTTATCGGGAGATTCTCTGTGGCGGAGGCGACTGAGGTATCTGCGCATGGGTGGTTAGCCTCCAGATGCCAGAGCATGGAGAGTGCCCTTGCATGAGGGTTCTTCAGCTCTTGTCGAAGAGGAGAGGCAGTGTCGCCTTCATCCTTGCGGACGACGGCGAGTGCATCTCCTGGCTCTGAAGGGCACTCGGGTCAAAGACATACCTCGTGTGATTGCGGTGGGCGGTAAGGAAGATGGGAGATCGCGAAAAGTTCGAGTTTGGCGAAAATTGGTGTCGTGGTCCGTGTGCTCGCTAATGGACATGGACTTGGCAGCAGCGACGGACCCTTGCATACGCTCCACGCTCCCAGGCTGCCACACTTCAACACCTGCCAGTCCTCACATCACTTTGCTGTCGCGATATAGACCGACAATGTCTTCTCCGCCGAGGAAAGCCCATGTCTTGGGCGCATGGCTTGATCCTGACTAACATTTCAGCACTATCGCGCCTTCACGTGCACTCGCGATCGCTAACCGTCTTAGTCATGACGTAGCGGCAGTCACTTTGCCTCCGACCATCTCCCACGAGCCCAAGCCTAGAATCTATCAGTATACACCAAAGTCTGCTATACTATATCACCATGTCTGAGGCATGTTGTACTTGCGCTGCCCTCCTGTCGTCGATACCTCCAACATACGATGAGAAGACCGAAAAACCGTCACAGTTCGAGCGTAGACTTGACTGCTGTGACCGTGCCATATGCGCCAGATGTTTGACGGACAATCCGAGATTCCAGAACTACTGCCCATACTGCCAGATATCGACAGGACCATCGGCACTACCAACACATGGTCTACGCGATCCTCCTACGTATTCGCCACCAGACGAGCAGCAGGCCGGCGACGAACTACCGCCATACTCAGCACACAACGCGCTACAACCGCCGCCTGAAAAGACGAACTCAGATGCTGAAAACGCGCCTGATGTCCTACACTTTGTTGATCAGAACAACGACTCGATCTTATCACTATCGCTTCGATACGGTGTACCCGCCGATGCTTTGCGCCGAACGAATAACTTATATGCAGACCATTTGCTGGCGGCGCGTAGAACGGTCCTTATACCTGGAGAGTTCTACAAAGGTGGGGTCAGTCTTAGTCCGAGGCCACTAGAGGGAGAGGAAGAAGAGATCAAGAAGACAAAGCTACGGAAGTTCATGGTTAGATGCAAGGTCGCCGAGTAAGCGCTACAACCTTTCAATTCATCGCAAAGATACAGAAACTGACCTTCCGTGTCAGGTACGATGTTGCTCTTCTCTACCTTGAACAAGCCGATTATAACCTCGAGCACGCAATCATGGCGTACAAGGCCGACGAAGAATGGGAGAAGGAACATTCCCTAGAGGCTGCGAAAAAGGGCAAGGCGAAGGACACACAAAGTTCTGGGCGGCGGAAGTGGGGCTTTGGGGGTCTCACTGGTCAACTATGAAAGCGCGTACGAGCCATTCTTCTGGTCATGGGCGTTTTGTACCACTGCGACATACTTTAGCTTGATCAGGAATACCCTAGCCAGCGGCTACATATGTATTATCTTGCATTGACTGGTAGCAGGATTGCCAGGAAATGAGGGTTGTAAATTCCTCTACTCGAACAGTAATTACTGTCAAGTTCTATATAACAAAGCACGCTTCTCATCTATTGTTGCTGTATCCAAGTGCACTTGGCCATCTACTCTGCCCATCAGTCTATCCGAATGTTCACCAAGCTTACCGTCTAAATTGAACTGCTATTTTTGCTGGTTGTGAAATCTCATGTTCTTACCTGCTAGAGAAGCTCACGGCCAATCATAGCGCGAAAGCACCATAAACTCGTAAGCGCCTATACACCCCGCGAATCAACATCTGCAGATCAACTCTCGAAGCGCCCGCACCGCATTCGCGTTTCACAGTTTAGTGACCCTGCATTCAGGTCACTCTGTACCCTCATTCGACGGCATGAAAGCGCACTACAGCCGCTCATGCTCTGACTTTGCCATGTTTCGTTACCAGTGGAACCACAGGCAAGCCACAGAGTCTGGCGCACGGTACGATCGGCAACCTCACTGATTGAGTGGAGAGGTCACAGACCACAGTGAACGGTATGGGCTACTAAATGTACATATGCGGCAATGCGGCAATACGATATGCTGGTTAATATCACTATTCTAAGACTGGTCTGCAGCTTACGCGCTGCGAATAACAATACACCACCACCGCCAACCCAGCAGTCCGGCGCTGCTAACCCAAGTTCCACCGATAGTCGCAGCGGCAAGACAGATTACCGTTCTTTCTTTGCTCTTGTTCGTCTATTTCGAGACGCGAACTGAAGATGGCTGCAGGGGGTTGCACGATGTGTTCTGTAGGCATGAAACCCGAATTGCGACCAAGTCGTTTTAAAGGCATGTGCCACCCCCAGAGTTGTTTCCCATCATCCCAGGCAAAGGTTCTCTCGAAACCTCAGGTTATATCAGGCCCTCTGTGCTTGCTTGTTCTTTCGTTATCTCGTTATTCGTCCTTCATTTCAAGAAAGAGAGGTGCTCCTGGTTGACACCAATTCAACGACCCAATTCTTATACCCTCATACCTTACGCTTTGCGTTTGTATAATACAACAAGGAATATCTTTGAAGCAAGACTACAATCAAGATGAAGATCAACCCCGCTCCTTTCCACCTGGCACAGGCCATCATCACAGGTCTCGTCGTCGTCTTCAGCATATGTATCCTTGGCACTTCGGCATACACTCTGGATGTCTTCAACAGGCAACATCTCACGAACCCTTGGTGGGCACCGATGTGGCCTCAGCATTTCGACGTTCAGGGTACCAAAGCGCTCATCGCGTCGTCCGTCGTGACACTGGTTCTCTGTGGTGCATTCTTGATCGCATCATTTGTGCCTCAGGTGAGGAACAACCTTGACATTATTATGTGTAGGGATGCATACTGACAAGCACCAGCTTGCCCTTCGCCAGAAGTACACTCTCCGCGCCCTCCTTTCCCTCGCCACTCTCCTTCCTACTCTTCTCCTTACTCTGATTACGACGATCTGGGCACACATGCTCAACAACAACGCCCCAGAAGTTGATACCATCCAGACCTGGACATGCAAGATGCAGAACTCGCAACCGCTTGCTCAAGATTTGCCGGGCGACATCGCTATGCCGGCTGGCATGGGAAACGGAGACTTCAAGACGCTTTGTGGAGCCAGCAAGTTCGCACTTATTGGCACGCTCATTGTGTTCTTGCTTGTAGGCGCAAGCATGGCTGTTACGGTTATCACTTGGATGGCGGACAAGTGGGCAGCTAGGCAACAAAGGAAGGAAGTTGAGATGGGCAACATTCCTGTGCCTACATCGTAAAGGCGAGGCCGATGGAAGACAGGATGATGATGATGAAAGAAGCAAACAAGCGCTTGATGGGACGTGGCAAGTCGAGAGATTTGATGCATTTGGGTTATGGATCTCTATCAGCAAGCGTGTCCTAACAGGGAAGGCGTACCGGTGTAATGGTGTCTATACGTGACTATGAACAAGGGTGTTCCTTTCAATGTACTATTAGGCAAATGGAGGCCACTTTCTCCGTCCAATTCGCATCTTCGTCATAGTTCGGACTGAATGATGCATTGTGCACCAGTGTGGCGGGGAATTGGGTCCAGATCAGGATCGGCAGATCCAATAGACGATCGCCCTGGAGTTGAGTAGAGGGTGCGTAAGCTTGCGTGAACGGGAATAAGGCATGCCGGTATCCAGAACGTAATCACGCTGAGCCGTATATATGGCGCTGTTTGATTTTGGGAAGATGGCAATGCTTGCTGAGGAAAGCTGTCTGGAAAGTTGGACGAGGCAGCATGCAGGTGTTGTTGCGGAGCAACGAGGGCAAGCGCGACAAGCAAATGTCTTTGTACCACCAAGACATTGATCATGAGACACTGTATGTAGCGGTTTCAGCACAACGTTGGAGACGACGCTGCATCTCCAACAATCGACAGCTTACATAGTGAGTGATGCGCAGTGGGGGAACGCGTGAATAAGCCGGTCAACGATCATCGTTTGGCTCTCTTGGTTCGGCCTGTCGCGTCACGACTCCTCATCCACATCAACTGCCGTCATCCGGCCAGGCTCTCGAGCATTTCTGACCCTCTTGCTTTTTCCCGCCTTCAGTTATTTCCATCGGCTCTGAATCAGAAAACGAAACCTACCCGCCGTTCCTCGTCGAGCATCTAAATTGATCACCCGTCCTGTCATCCCGGATCCTTGTCCGTCTTCAGCCCCCAAAGGCTCGAGCGTGCATTGAAGCGGCATCAGAAAGATCCCCTCTCCACCGCAGCGAGACTGCATAATTCTACCTCTCTCTGCCCGCCAACCTCGCCCCCCCTTCTCTCGCACACTCACTCACTTGACACCCGCTATGCAAGCTCGCCACGTGCCGGCAGAAGAACACCGCAGCAAGAGGAAGTTCCAACCCAGCATTACAAGCTATTTTGAGGTGCGGGACGATTTCGAGGATAACGACGATCTGCGGGGCCTAGATCCGATTACCCGACCGCGACGCCAAACCACGCGAGGCGCTGCACAACATCAGCAGCAACAGCAGCAGCACAGGGAGAGACTCGCTCCCGACATCCCAGGACAGGTGCAAGCAGGCTTGCTGAGCGTCGGAATGAGAGTCAGAAAGAGTGTGCCGGAAGGCTACAAGACGCACAAGGTCTCCGAACTGTCCTCGGTTCAGAACACCATGTCGAGACCCACATTGGCCGTCAAGCCGCCCCGAGAAGCTGTACCAGACCAAGTTCAACACCAGCGAGAACTGCTGCCGTTTTGCGGTCTGCACAAGATTGGAGGGTTTGCTGAACAGCCTACAACAAATCCACATCTCTACAACACAACCGCCACTCCATCACCACCCAACTACTTCCCTCTTCCTGCCGAAACCTTCACCCAGCCATTCTCCTCGACAGCCTCCACCGACAGTGGCTGCTCCACCACGTCGCAACGCCCACACAACCCCTCGAAACGCTCATGGCAAGACGAAGACGAAGTCAGGCCATTGGACACTAGCTTCTTCTTCGGCTCATCCTCGACAAAGGGCATGGGTATGGGTGTTGAGGTCGACGAGGTGCCTGTCAGCCCGCTGAGCGAGACTCCGCCTCCAGGACTTAATATGCTGCCGCCGGTGAGGCAGTTTGCGCAACCCAAATCGAGAAGAGCAGTACAGAGGACAATTAGCGACGATGACATCGATATGGATTTTGTGAATGCATCGCACATCGAGGGTAGGCTTAGCGCAGGCTGCGGAAGCGATTTTGAAGAGGCGGATTTTCTGTCCAACGAGGTGGATATGGGTGGTATATGAACTCTAGTGGTCATTTCCTGCTCTTTCGTCGTCTCAACCTTGTCAGCTCTTTTGCTCTTCGCTTCTTGTTTATACTTTCCTATTGGTTGGTTATCCACGCGCTCGTCGCTCTTGTTATGGATGGCGTGGAATGGTGTTCATGGAAAAGATTATAATGTCGGCGCGTATACCCGGTTCTCTCTTGTTTTCAAAGGTTTCTAATCAACCCGTCCTATATGCTGTTCCGCATAATATTAAATCGACTTTTTTGTCACATGTTACCACATGGTCATTGGGCCTAGCTTCCTCCGTTGTCTGTGATGTCGACCGTCCACGTTTGTCATTGTCTACTCATCACCACCGATCTAGCCACTCACGGTGTGATCATACCAACTCACTTGTGTTAGCATAGAGAAAGGACTCCATTGTGCCTCTCACTTTAACATGTAGAATATTCAAAGCGAGTTTAAAATTGGATAGCAGTCTCTCAATCGTTACGATACGAAAAGCTGTTGGAGGCTAAGAGTGCTGAGTGGGCTATCTAGAACCAGAACTCCGACGCTATGCATGTAAAAGTCTTGAATCTTTCTTTCTCTCATACCATGTATATGATGCATCTAAGACGTCGACTTCGTTAACAAGAAGCCGACATTGCATTCCGATTCTTTTAGGACGTCAAGGAATACGTCGTCATCCACCGCCACCGCCATGTCATCAACGACCCCTGCCTCTTTGTTCCCGCCTTGCTCATTCGTCGCCGTTTCTTTGAGTATCTTGGTGTCAATATGTCGGTATTCCATCAACATCCTGAGCTTGGGAAGTTTCGCCGCGCGCCTAGCCTTTATCTTCGCTTCCTGTTCCTCAATGTTGACCTGGCTTGCTTTTGTGAGGGTTGGGTAGAGATCTTCTTCTGAGTCATCGGTATTGTCTTCGGCAGCCACGTCTTGTTCCTCGGCTTTGACTTCCGGTGAGCCCTTACAGTCACACGTGCAACCGAGTATGTCGTGTGTCTGGCAACCTTCACGCTCGTCTAGCCGGAAAAGGTCGCGAAGTTCTTCCTGTGAAAAAGAGGATGCAGAGGCTTTGTTGTCCACAACAGCATTTGCAAGGCCCATCTTCATAACTTGGCGCTGATAAATCTTCTCATCTAGGCCGCCTTGAATGAGGAGTCTATATACCTTACATGGTAGTTTCTGGCCGTCACGATGGATACGCGCCATAGCTTGCAGATCTGTAGCAGGATTCCAGTCGATATCAAATAGCACGATGCGCGATGCGCCAATAAGATTGAGACCCACACCACCAGATTTAGCAGACAGAAGGAAGGCGAATGATGCGGTTTTCGGAGTCTTGTTGAATTTCTCCACAAGAGCCTGGCGTTTGGAAGCCGGGGTGCTACCGTCCAGACGGAGGAAAGTGTACGATAACGAAACAAGAAGTCGTTCGATCATGTCCAGTGTGGTAGTATAGTTCGAAACGATGACGATCTTCTCTTCTGTGGTAGTATAGATTCGGTGAATCAGGCTGTCGAGCAGTCGCAGCTTCGCGCTTGAAGCACTTGAGCTGAGAATCTTACTCGGTATAAGAGGGAGAAGCGACTGTAGCATCTCTGATGGCGTGTCATCATTATCCTTCGATGACTTGAGCAAAGAAGGGCTGTTGCAGACCTTCTTTAGCACATTGATGAGTTGTAGTGCAATATCCGTACTTCCTAGTGCAATTCTGAATGTCGGCGAATTCAGTATTGCGCGATATGCCTCTGCCTGCCCTTTGGTCGGCCTGCAGAAGACAATGTGCTCAGTCTTGGGTGGAAGGTACTTGGAAAGCACCTCTGCTGTCCGTCGGATCATGAATTGACTGGTGAGAGATACGAGCTCCTTCCATTGTGCCTCTCCTTTTTCGAGCTCTGATTCACTCGCCCCTGGCTGACGGCTGCGCATGATGGGCACTTCGAATGAACGCTTGAAAGCCGTTCGTTGCCCGAGTAGTCCAGGGTTGACAAAGTCAATTGCGGTGTAAAACTCACCCAAGTCGTTCTGTAAAGGCGTTCCTGACAGTATGATCCGCCGCTCAGTATTGAGAGACTGGATTGCAAGCATTGCTTTGTTGTTAGCGGTTTTCAACCTATGGCCCTCATCTGCAATCACGATATCGACACCACTACCCTTCTTCAGCTCATCTTGTACGATACGCAACATCTCGTATCCGACGATCATGATGTTGTAGGCTTTGCCCATTGTGAAGTTGGTGATCTTGTTGTTCTTTCCGTCTAGCACAAATACACCAACTCTCTCGTTGCCTAGCCATTTTCGAAACTCGCGCTTCCAGTTGTCGACCAGGCCAGCCGGGCATACAATGAGGGCCTTGGTAATGACTGGTGAGGTATCGTATATCGGATTTTGTTTCATCAGCGTCCAGAGCAAGGTTATGGTCTGCAATGTCTTGCCCAAACCCATCTCATCAGCCATGATGGCTCCTTCGCCCTCGCATCGCATGCCCATGACACATTCGTATAAAAACTGCACACCCTCGCGTTGATGTTCGCGAAGGTGCTTGCTGAGGACCGGGTCGACGACAACGTCAACAATCTGCTTTCCGGTCGGACAGGACTTGGGCCGCTTCATGACTAGAGCATTGGGCGCGTGAGGGTCGTGACGTGGCTGTGGAATCGATGGATTTCGTTGAGGCATGACAGTATTTGACAAGAGAGGGGCCTTGAATTGTTGCTTGCGCTGGGCCGATGGCTTGTAATCTGGTACATTCTCCCCATTACCAGCAGCGTTGTTTTTCTTGCTTGCTTTCTTCTTTTCCAATGAGAGAGGCTTGTATCCCGATTCGGTGTGCTTCGTTTGAACTACAGGCGCAGCTGCAGCATTGCCTGGCAATGTGCGCCCAGCGAGGTAGTCCGCCTTGTCGATGGGGCCTTCAATTTCAATCTCCTTGCCACCAACGGACAGTGCCGAGCCTGGAAGTAGTGGCCGGCTGCATACTCCCTTGCCCAGCTCTTTTCCCGTCTCGCTATCCGTGAGCGTGGCGTAACCACCTGTCACAGCGAGCACTCCATCGCCATCCCACGTCTTGTTCTTCTTAGTTGTGTATTTCCGCCATAATACTGTGTAGTAGTTTCCGTCGAGACCCGGGGGCAGGAACTGTGCTGGCGCGGGATTGTTGAGCGTGTTGAGAGGTTGACGACTGCCAGAGGAAAGCGCGTTGGACAAGATTCTCCGTTTCTTGCTCGGTGGCTCGCCAGTCTCTGATCGAGGGCGAGCGAGGGTAAGCGGCCTGAAAGGCTTCATCTGTTGGATTGTTGAATGTGGGGTAGCATGTCGTCAAGCCGGATGCTTTGGGGTCGATGATGAAGTCTTGGGAGGCGACGCGCCACGACGCTAAAGCGCGTAGTCACGTGGCGCCGGTATCACCCTAGTTCCCGGAGTGGTAGGTACTCTCTAAACACTTATAGGTTCAGATCGTCGGTATGCCGCTCTCAAAGACCAGTCAAAGACTTTTATTCTAGTAGCATTATTATCGTTCCATAAGAAAAGATGTGTACTTTGCATATCTACGTCTCGACAAGTTGTACCCAAGATCAAAACAATCCTACAAGTGTGCACTATTATTTCTCTATCCCAGCTTCCACATGTATTACCGTACATACCTTGAATGCACACTCTGTGATAATAGATACATTGAAATAAAAAGTTACTGGGCAAGAGCTCGTCCTACATTCTGACAACGACGCCGCGACATGATAGACGCACGCTCTAAGATCGAAACACCCAGTTGCACTTTTTCAAAAACCTTCTATCACTACTACAGTTACTCCCTAAGGATGCTTACTTCAACATCCAGTCTAAACACCCCCAAATCTTTTTGCTTTGGATGGTCCCATGATCTAAGCCATCATATGCCCTAAAGTCAATGTTGCGCTTGTATCGATTAGCAATCTCTGCAGTCTTTCTCGCTGCGTCGTATGATATATTGGTGTCTATGGCCCCATGATACCATCTTATAGGATTGGCATCCATGTTTTCCAAGTCAAATTTAGATGTTGGTGTGCGCAGTCAGTACAGAACTCCTATGCAATTCTTATGGTGACATCACTAACCCCCACGGTCGTACTTTGAGTCTGAGATCATTGTTGTATCCCTCATGACCTTGCCTTGCTGCCTCCCGCCAGTTCAAACGAGCGCGCAGAATTTTTGTCTCGTTACCTTTGGCACTCACAACGTCTCTGTGGAGGAAGTAATTGGAATCGCCGCCGGATGAATACAGGAAAGACGCTCTGCCTCTGAGCCACAACGTCAGTCTCGTTCTCAAAGATAGTTCCGTGCTTGCAAAGTTGGGATGATTACAGCCGCACATGATAGATGTCTTGCTCAGCCTGCTTTTTGGGAAATGGAATGTTGCCTCTAACGCATATGGTCCTCCACCACTCACACCATAGACCTTGAACTCTTGAATGCCATGGTAATCGAGCAAATGCTCGACATCTTGCATGAAGCCTAAGATCCCTCTACCGTGAAGCGTAGAATGGCCATAGCCCGGACGATCAATGGCAATGATGCGGACGCCATGGGTTTCAGCATAACCATGTATGGTTGCCACCCCTAGTCGGCTACCAGGAGTGCCATGAAATATGACCCAGCATTGTCCTACCTCTTTCAGACGACCAAGTCTTGCGTAACTCAGCTGAGCTCCTGAGGGCAACCTGATTATCTGGCTGTCTCTGAGCCAAACCAAATCGTCTAGGACCGTGTCGTGAAAACCGCTCTGACAACGTTACTTCGTGCTTCTCGGATCAGAGCGGCTGGAAGTAGAAGGTCGAACGACAAGGACAACTTTCTTCGCTATGGGTGGTATAACGCGAGGGTGTGCTGCTTTGATAGGAGACTTGTTTGAATTATTCGTGCACAACTTGGACTTGGAGGTTGGTATTGGTAGGCGCGCAGCGCTTGTTCCACGTGTTAAATTTGTCTCGGGATTCTTCCCCGCGGCTGATGCTTGTCGGAGTTACATATAAC